GCTGAAGTAGCTGAGCGCTACATTCCGTAGGTACCCCGGAATGTTGAATTTCCTCAGGGACTCTAGCGTTCGGCTCCAGTCTGCAGAGTTGAAGGCATTCCTGATGTCGAGGGTGACGACCAGACAATAGGATTTGGTTCCACCTTTCCATCTGGTTCCTGCAATGGCATCCTCCGCGATCTTAACGACCCTCGCAATGGCGTCCAGCGTAGACCGTCCCTTCGTGAATCCGTATTGTTCAGGGGAGAGACCACCAGCGGCTTCGATGGCTTCGCCCAGCCGAGTTGAGATCACTCTCTCGAAGACCTTGCCAATCGTGTCCAGCAGGCAGATTGGCCTATAGGACGATGCCTCACCAGGTGGCTTGCCTGGCTTGGGCAGCAGCAAAAGCCGCTGCCTTTTCCATCTGTCGGGGAACGTCCCCTCCAGGAGGCACTTGTTGAACAAGCAGGCCACCTCGGACGACAGCAGCGATAGAGACAGCTTGGTTGCTCTGCTCGGAATGGCGTCCGGCCCCGGCGCCTTCTTAATCTTCAGGCTTCTGCCGGCCTGTAGAACCTCGTCATCCGAGACCCAGCGGATGTCGCCCAACTCGGTGCTAGGGCAGATCGCGACCTGCCGTCCGTTAGGAAACAACGTGCCAACTATGCTCTCCAGAGTCGCCGGGTCAGTTGGGGCACTGCCGCCCGCGTTGAGCCTTTTCACCACCATTTTGTAGGCTCCTCCCCAAGGATCCTCGTCGGCGGCGTCGCACAGCTTGAGGAAGCACTCGCGTTTACTGTTCCTGATGGCAGTCTTCAGCTCCTTCCTTGCCACCTTGTAGCGGTCGTTGCATGCAGGAAGGCGCGAGGTGCCTCTAGCTCGCTGCAGCAGCCTTCTGCTTCGGAGGCATTTGCGGCGAAGGTCAGCGATCTCCTCGCTCCACCAGAACACCGGGGAGTGATGCTTCCTAAACGGCTTCCTCAGTAGCATGCTTTGGTTGCACGCGCCATCAACCGCAGCCGCTAGTTTGTTGGCCATCTCGCTGGCTCCAACGTCCTCACAAGCCGTGACGCCTTCAAGGGCGCTTGCAAATGCCCGCGGCCTGAAGGTGTCTTGCCTGAACGCCTTCCTGTCTGGGAGTAGGGGCCCTCTTGTGCGGTGAGCGGTACCTATCGAACACTCAATAGCCTCGTGGTCGCTGGCGGTGTAGGCATCGCTGATCCTCCAGCGGGCTCGGCTGGCAAGCGCACTACTGGCGAAGGTGAGGTCAATTACCGAGCCCACCCCTGCCCTGCTAAAGGTCTGCCTGGAGCCTTCATTCAGAAGGACTACGTCCAGGGAGGCGAAAGTCTCCAGCACCGCTCGGCCTCTGGCGTTGGTCCGGGAGGACCCCCACTCCATGGCCCAGGCGTTGAAGTCGCCGCCAACCACAACGTTGCTCCGTCCACGCAGATCGCTGCTCAGCTCGTCCAGAATCCTGCCGAACGCCTCCAGTGAGAGACTGGGTGCCAAGTAGCAGCTGTACAGCCAGATGCCGCCAATGTTCGCTCGGACGAATCCTTCCGCTGCTTTGGTGTCGCACATCTCCGGAGCATCCGCTCCGCAGAGCCACAAGGCCGCCTTGCCAGAGCGGTCAGTGGCCCAGACGCGGCTGGTACCGACCCTGTAGGGTTCGCTCAGGACTGCCACCTCCGAGCCCAGCTCCCGCACCGTCTGCGACAGGAGATCCTGCGCAGCCCTGCAGTGATTCAGATTGAGTTGAATCAACTGCATGCAGGCTTGGGATTCGCATACCCACTGTTCGAGGCTGGACATCCCCTGGCGCCTGCCTTGTGCCTCGTCTCCTTCCTTCCGGCCGCAGAGCATATGAAGCAAGACGGCTCCTTGTTGCACGAAGCCGCCTTGTGTCCCGGCTCGCCGCAGTTAATGCAGCAACCGCTCCTGTCCACAGGGCCCTTGCAGTGGATCGCAATATGCCCAGGTTCTAGGCATCTGAAGCACCTCACGGGACCACTTCGTTCCCGGATCCTGCAGATGGTCCATCCAATCCGAACTTCACCTCTATGGAGGACGGCTTTGGCAAGGGATACGGGAAGGCTGATTATCGCAGTTTGGGTTTCAGCAAAACTGCGGCGCATGCTCCGCACTTTCACCCTCTCCGCCTCGAAGTTAAACTGGCCCGCGAGTGCGGCGCAGACCTCCTGCTTCGTCGAGATCGGCTCGATATTGCGCACCTCCAAGACGAGGACTTTTGAGTCCTCTGTCGTTGCGCGCACCGACGCTGTATCTCCGAGTACCTTCTCGATGCTCTCCCTCATTGTCGTGGCGCTCTCGGCGCTACCTTTCGCCACCTCCAGGAGCAGGTTACCGTTGTTGGTTCGGCGAACCTTTGACACGCAGCGTCCCAGGTCCGACAGCTGCTTGTCCTCTCTCCTCGTAACCATTGCGAGCACCTCGCTGTAGGACTTGCCGCTCGCGTGGACAATGACAGCGTCCGGGCGAGTGCGGCGCGCTGTTCTCGGCTTCCTCGCCACGACCTCCCAGTCGTTTACGGGGATTGCCTGGCTCTCAGGCTTCCGAGCTGGCCTATGCTGCTCCGATGCATCAAGCACCGCCGCTGGCGGCTTCGCACGGGGCTTCTTGGGCGCCCTTGCGCTTTTCTGCTGCGCTGGGCGAGGGGGTGGCGGGGCCAGCACCGGTGCGGGTAATCCCGGCGCATCTGGCTGGCTTAGCCTTCTCCAAGGCTCGGTTTGGGCCGCGGCCTCCTTTTTCCAGGTGGTCACCGTTTGCTGCTCCTTGTCCGCGCTTTTGGTAATCTGGGCGCATTTCCGGCACAGGTTGTTTGCGACCCGGCTCTCCTGCCTGTCGCTGACTCCTGCCGCGGCCGCTCTGCTTGCCGCAAGGATGCTCGAGTGCAGGGTTTTCACCCTGGCAATCATTTCCCTCAGCGGCACGGTGATATGCCGCGTCGACTTATCCATCATTCTCGATGAGACCTCTTGTAATAGATTGCCCATCTCCTGCAGATCCTGCAGGCAGGCTGCCTTCTCTGAAGCCTTGCTCTTCTTCGCCGGCGTAGTTCTCGGTGAGCTAGTCGGGCTAGCCGGGTCCCTCAACCTCTTAGGGGGCGGCGTAGAGCCTGTGCTCTGCCCACCTTCTTGGGCCTCGTACATCGGTGGCGTACGGGAGAGCTTATTGCTCCTCTGTGTGTGTGTGTGTGTGGGTGTGTGTGTGGTGTGCTTAATTCTAGCTTATTACATACCTTAAATGCTAGGATTAATTATCTTATATATATACATTATTTACATAGGGTTTTGTGACTTCGTCACAATGTAAACACAACAGAATTCATTGGACCTAAGGTCTGCAAATCAGGCCAGGACAGTGATCAACACCGCGGATTAGCCGTCCACATAAGGCGGTCAATTAGTTCGTAGACAGTCAAGCTGCGATAAGATCTATGTTATCATTAGCGGTAAGTTCCAAAAACGTACTGGCAAGCAGGGAGTCACGAGACCGCGGACAAACTTGCAAAGGAAGGCGTCGGACTGGCGAGTGAAAGAGCAGAAAACGTTCCTGTCTCCCTAAGAGCTCTCCAAAGCGAGCTAGAGAGACGGGATGACGCAAGCGCAAAATGCAGTAGGGGGAGTAATTCGACAACCTGAAGAATATAAAAAATCATGTGCAAAGAGAGCAACGAGAACCTCACTTACTAAGTGCTGCATCTTCCACGGAAGGTTTGCAGAATGTTGGTAGGAGTTCTAACAGGTCGCTGCCTGTCTGTTCCACATGCAAGCAAGCTGGGTATCACAGACAAAGCTAAATGCCGGAAATGTGATGAACCCGTCCAGCCCTAACGAGGGCAAGGATGATATACCTGGGCTCTCCGGTTCTGGCATCGCTAGAAAATGCCTCCAGGAGGAAGCCAGGCTAACTCCTTGCCTTTGCGAAAAACACCTTGATCTTCAAGGACCTCGAAAGCAGCACAAACAGTCTCAAGGTCCATCGAGGAACTTCCCGGACAAGTAAGGGGCATTTTGGTTTATGCGTGGCCCCATGAGGGCCGTCCTGTTTAACCAAACGTAACCTAACCTACATTTTACCTATACTTATTATGTTTACAGTTTTACATTCCCAGCTTTACAATTTTTTTTACATCGATCTACCGATCGTTTCTATGGCAGCTATATGATATAGTTGTCCGCTTTTCATAAAATGTATTCTGAAATAATAAAAAAAACGGATGTCTCAGAGTAGATGATAATACGTTGTAAAAATACAAAGTTATAATTTTGTTTTATTAATTTTACGATCGTTCCTATTGCAGCTGTATGATGTAGTAGTCCGATTTTCATAAAATTAAAATCGAAATATCTATATGCAAAGTTTCAATCAGATAGCTTTAAAACCGAGGGACTAGTTTGCCTAGAAACAGACAGTTGAACAGACAAAGAGACGGACAGTTGGACGGACATGCCTAGATCGACTCGGCTGTTGATGCTGATCAAGAATATATGTATATATTTTATAGGGTCGGAAAGGTCTCCTTTACTGCGTTGCAAACTTCTGATTGAAAATATAATACTCTGCAAGGGTATAAAAAAGTAATGTAAAATAAACTACACTATATTTTTTATTAAAATTAAAAGCATAAGAAACTGACACTACGCTCTGGCGTTTAGCTGAAAATGGCTTCCGTTTTCGTCGAGTGTGGATTCTTTCTTTGTTTTTTTAATTATCTTGATCACGAGCATATGTTTAATATCAACACTGACGCCAATTATAGTCCTAGTACCAAGCTATTAGTTAACATACAAATAAAATAACTGTAAATGCGAATTTCCCATTAGAAATTATAGAAATAATTTAACAACAACTAATTTAAGTTATTAAATGCATATTAAAAGAACATTTTACTAAACGTCCTGTACCATGGACAGTTTGAGTAAAAAGCTGTGTAATAAGTACATACTTTGTTAAGGCTTACTGTTATTTTTACCCTCACAAAAATTAAATAATTTTTTTGTCTATTTCAGTTTATTAACAGAATTTTTGTACAAGGTTATAGGTAGAAAAGTTTATCCGAAAGCGTGTCAGCTATTTCACGTTGAATACTTTGTCCCACCAAATAAGCCAATTTGTGAGCGTACTGAAAATAAAAAAATTAATAGTTGTTTTAAAATAAGGCTAATAACTTATAGAGTACAATGATATTAAAATATTATGATATGTTTTGACTATTTCTTTTTTCCTTTCAAATGCAAATTTTTAAAGTTTTGAATTCAAAACGAATTTAATAAACTTGGTTGGTTTCTATCCAATTGCTTTATTCCTGCTGCGGTGGGAACACTAATAAGGCAAATCTCTCATATGCGGCAGTTACACTAATCATCCCCAAGTTTCTCGCTTATCGGCAGCGTTGGGTCAACATAACATTTTTTGTCTCCAAGGACTCGGTACCGGATCACACGATCTAGTCTATTAAAACACAGAAGATGTAGGGCTAGGCAGATCGGCTCGCCGATCCGTACTTGGCAGACATGCGGGCCCTCGCAATTATCTATTTGGTAATTAAGCGTTTTTCATGTTTCAAAATAAGTGACTCTAACGGGCTCTTTGACACAATTATACCAATTTCTTTCTTGACTGCCTCTATTTCCTATTAGAATGCAAGAGGCTTTTAATAGTCCCTTATCAGTAAAATGTAATCCTTGTCGCGCCAGCGGCGTTACCCTTAACCCTTAAGTGGTTTCAACAAAAAAAGTTCCAACAATTGATGAATGTTTAAACATGTAATAAAAATGAAACTACTATTACCTAACATATTTTCACATAATAATAGGCCGATCTAACCTGAATAAATGCCCAATTTATTCTGTAAAAAACTTCGCAGATAATCTTCGTCTGCAACAGGTTTCATCTGAACCCTCCCCGAGGGTGCCGGCTGGGCAATGGGCACTGTATTAGCCAGGACACGGGTAATGCAACGCTGCTTGCCCCGTCCGCGATAATACAGTGTCTAGCAAAGGCCACGGTTCAACTCCTTCTGCCCTAAAAAGCCTAAGGAAGTGAGCCGTTAGCCATGGGTGGAGGTGTCTGGCGGAAGGCATGGGTGGTACCCCTGAAAAATAAACCATTCTGTAGGGTTTAAAGGAAGTGTAGTATGCACACATATTGAATACGCACTGTACCCAGAGTACTTAAAGAGTGCGCACTGTAATACAATGTTGCAGTGTTTACACAATTCAAAGTCCCGGTCATAAACCATGAGTGGCCGAAATATGAACCGATCGCTAAGGCTTAGCCTGCACATTGAAAAGTGCTAGTGTCGGCATATTTGCATCGAATGGACTACACGCGCATACCCCCCTCGCGCCTCCACTTGTGAGTGCATAGCCAATGTACATAAGTACATTCTTTTATACATAAGAATATATATCCATAGCCGTCTCTCTGCCGCTGCCTGCGAGCAGCGCAGCTACGAGACCTAGCTTATATTATAACTTAAGGAATACTGTAAGAACACTAACTCATCGAGCCTTGGAGCGGCATCATAGCTGCCCTTAGCCAACACTTAAAAACTCTGGAGCGGCACCATTGCCGCACCAAATATAAAGCTCAAATAAAAATCAATCAAACATAAAACAATACCAAGTCTTGTCCTTGTTGGAAGAAGTATTGAATGGCGGGAACAAACTTATTTCATGGCGACCAGTGCCAGTGATTAAAGAACCTGCAAAAAGAAATAAAATTATCCCAAGGAAGTGAAAGTGTACTAACAAAAAAATATCAATGTCCTACCCAAAGCCCCAAGGGGTAAAACGGAGCAACTTCCCCGCATTCCTGGAATGGGATGCGTTTGAAGTAATGTTCGACATTATAGGCAGAGGTGTTACAAACAGTGAAGACATCGCAATGGAAGTGAAAGCTTATTTCAACACCCACCATGGAGGAAATTGGCAGTGCATAGCGGGAAGAAATCTCGGAGCAGCAGTCGACGCCGCCCATGAAGAATTCATTCATTATTACTACGATATGGAAGTAGTACTTTTCCGACTTAAGGACAACACTACACAGTAATACTGAAATACTGTAATACAAAAAAAAAAACACCTTCTCCGAAACTACAATCAACCAATTCAAAATAAAACTACAATCCTGCTCAACTAAACACAAACCAATCGACTGCCCCATGACAACTGCAGCTAAATAATAACCTGTGCGAAGACCAGCACCGGTATCGCCTGAGCTCATAGGCCCAGGACATCAGCAGCCGAAATAACAGCCTGTGCGAAGACCAGCACCGGCACCGCCTGAGCCCATAGGCCCTGGACAGCAGCAGCCGATAACACAAGTGTGAGGGGCAGGCCGCCTCTTACACCTACGAGGGAGCGTCAGCGAAGCCAGGCCGGCGACGACCAGCTGACGCGACGCCACTGGATCCCGGGCAGCAGAAATAGTATATCATTTGCACTGCGTTGCATATTTTTTTGCGAGTGTACTGCGATGCACCTTTTTTTTACACCCACTTTGTAAAATTGAGCGGAACCTTTTCTGTCCGATTAGAAGCGTAGCCTGTAAAGCTATGCGAACAATTAGGTAGAAATTGTAAAACCATATGCGCGACGACGCGATCATCAACCATTTTATAGAAAATGGAAGCGAACTAAATAAAAATTGCAAATTCAAAATAAATCCAAAAACTTGTCTTAACGAAACCAATAGAATCAGTAGAGTTTTCATAGAACTTCAAAATAATAAAGTATATGAACCCAAAGTATACGACAAAACAGCAAAAATGACTTTGGACATAAAAACAGTGGATTCCACTGCCAATGTCATTAATAAAGTAGAATCAAGTAACATCGATTTATACTGGGTACATATACTCCTGATAATCATTGTTGTTATTATGTGCGCTAGTTTCTTTTACCAAGTATACAAGTTGCATAATAAATGCCTAAAAAAGAAGTATATGAGCCGAGGAAATGACCTCGATAAAATCTAATTAGAAAACATATACATATAACAGCAATGATCAAACCTCACATATTTCAATAAACAACACAACAACACAAACACGTCACCTTCTTATCAATGGTTAAATGGATTGGAATGCAATCTTTAAAGATTTATCCGATATCAAGATAAATTTCAACAGGTCCTATAAATCTTTAGCTCAGAATAGGCCAATCCAGAAAAATACAGTCAAAAAACACGTCTGGATATTGGTAGAGTGCTTCAATGCGGCACGATTATTAATATACGAGCATAGAGATAGGCTAACTCAGGACCACTGGACACAAGTATCTACACTTCTGATACGCCTCCGATCCCAGTTGATAATTGTTAGACAGAAATTCGGTTTGGATATATCAATACCAACCATATTAACACTACCAGTAGCAGCCTGAGTTGCACTTGACCCCGAAACAGACAACGAACAATCTGAGGAACCACCTGAAGAGAGCCCGAAAATAGAAGAAGAGGATTTAACTAATCTTACTATTCCGGCAACTTACACTGATCTAGAATCGGAAGATTCAGACGCTTCAGACACCTCAGAGGACAACAAGTTAAATACTACAATAACCATGGCCGACGAAACGATTGCCCAGAGGGCATATATCAAAGAAATTTCGAGTGCCATACCCGAATTCAACGGCCAAAAATTACATCTGCAAAGATTTGTAACAGCCCTAAGATTGGTCAATTTAACAAAAGGATCATTCGAAGATATAGCCGTAGAAGTTATTAAGTCCAAAATTGTTGGATCCACATTATATAGGGTTCAAAATGAGACAACCATAAATGACATAGTCAAAAAACTTCAGGACACAGTAGTCGGCGAAACATCCGATGTAATAAAGGCCAAAATGGCCAAGACTGTCCAGAAAGGCAAAACTGCCGAGAAGTTCACAACTGACATTGACAATTTACGGAAGCTCCTCGAAGCTTCGTATCGATGAAGGCCTCTCAGCCGAACACGCTGATAAATTCAGCACAAAGGAAGCCATCTCCACAATGGTCAAAAATTGTGAGCATGGCCGACTTAAAACAATATTGGAAGCTGGTAACTTCACGACAATGAATGAAGCCGTCACAAAGTATATACAATGTAGTACTGAAATGACGGGTAACGCCAACACAATATTGTATGCACAAAGAGGTAGCTATCGCGGTAATAGTTACAGAAATAATTATCGCGGTAGGGGTAGTAGCCGAGGTAACTACCGAAACAATGGCTACTACCAATACTACCAAAATAACCAGAATAATCAAAACAACCAAAACAACGGTTATAACCGCAACAATAACAACAACTATAGAGGAAACAACCGTGGCGGAAACAACCGCAACGGATACAACAACGGGTCAAACCGTAATAATCAGAACAATGTCCGATTGGCCCAAACCAATTCGGAAAACCAGACAAACCCTTCAGATATTTAGAGCAAACAACTAGCTCAATAAAATCAGTCAACCTGAATCTAAGCATTTTTATAAAAATCAAAAATGAAAGTACACGTAAAAGTTATACACTGTTACTTGATACTGGTGCAGACATATCTATATTAAAAGATAATATAGATAAATTTGAGATAATCAATGACAAAGTACACACCGAAATATCGGGAATAGGCGAAGGAACAATATCTTCAACAGGCTTAGCCAGTGTAGAACTCACTAATGGCAAATACATCATTCCACACGACTTCTATTTAGTCGATCAAAGTTTCCCAATACCTTGCGATGGCATACTAGGTATTGATTTCATAAAACAATACAATTGCCAACTAGATTTCACCCAAAGAGGCGACTCACTAATTCTTCGTCCAGATAACTTAAATTGTTCAATTGAATTGCAAATACTTCACTCTTGTGAAAGTAATGCCACAGTGCTCCCCGCACGTTCCGAAGTTGTCCGAGAAATACAAATTCCCTCAGCAAAAAATCAAATTCTGATATTAAATCAAGAAATTGAGGATGGAATTTATATCGCAAACACGATATCCGATCACAAAAATACTTTTGTCCGAATTATAAATACAACAAATGCCACTAAGATTGTTAACCTAACTAATATCAAATATGAAACTTTGAATAATTATGATATAATAAAAGAAAATAACGAAGGAAGAGATGAAT